CCCCCCCCCCCACCGAATCGAAATCCTGGCTACGGGCCTGGTTTGAGTGTTGGACTCGAACTCTGGAGGATCATAATTTAAATCCCAACTCAACCATGGGAACCCAGTAAGTGATCCTGGACAGTCAACTTCTCACAGCTTAAAACATGGCTGTTCCTACCCTACCCTACCCTACCCATCCCTACCCTTCTCCTCCTCCTCCTGTTCCTGTTCCTTCTCCTCCTCCTCCTCCTTCGAACTCCACTTTCCTCTTTTGAACAAAGCAGCCATGGCAAAGCTTCCCAGAATAAATCTTGCCAAGCAAACCCTATGAAAGAATTGCCATATACTGTACTTTATCTGAAGACACTGATCAACAAACTATGATTTCACACATCATTTTAAATTTATAACTCATTGAGTAACTTGAGCCCTCGTGCCCCAGCCTTAAAATTCAATCTTTTCTATCAACTCACTTAAAATGAAACCTTTTACTATTGCACCCTAGTTAACATTCCTCCCCCAAGCAACATTTTAAAATATCTTCTCCAAGTGGTGCTTATAAATCAAAATAACACTTACAAAATATGTTAAATTAGTATGATTATCCTGATATGGATTATGTAGGATATGATGGAAGAACAAAACATATGATGCCCATTCACTCTGTTGTCTATTAATAATTAGGAAAGAATGTAGATATCTAAAGAACATGTATAGGTTTTGTTTCATTTTTCATGATTACTTATATATTGTTTTAATGTGATATTTGTATACTGATGAAACTTCGGTCCATTGACTTTAACTACTGGATTTGGACACTGCAGTTTCCCAATGAATATCTCAGTTGAAAGCAGATAAAAATGCTCAAATATTTTAGAAACTTCTGTCTTTCTTTCTAGGTATTCCATGCTTCCCTCCACCAGATGTTCCTTACAGCAAGCGTAGTGGTGGATACATGGATAATTTTTTTGTTGGGTCAGTTGTGACTTACACCTGTGACAAAGGCTACCCCCTTGTTGGAAATGCCTCTATCTACTGTACTACTGAGGATGGGTTGAACGGAGTGTGGAGTGGCCGTGCCTATTGCGGAGGTATGGTTTTCATGTGCCCCTCTCATTTCAGCTATGTTATGAATGCAAAAGACCAAGTTGTGTCAATTGTTCTGATTTGTTCTGATAGTTGCAGCAAAGGAGCTTTTGCTTCCTCTCCTTATTTTTCAAAAACACGTCTTCTTTTTCAGAGACTCACTGTCCACCTCCTCATGTAGAGAATGGAAGAATAGTCACTGGCAAATCTAACATCTATACTTATAGCCAAAGGGTCACAGTTGATTGCAATGTTGGTTACAATATATCTGGCTCAAGAGAGATTCATTGCCAAGTGGACGGCACATGGGATCCAGCTATACCTACTTGTAAACAGGGCAAGTATGCATATAAAGACAATATATTGTGAAAACAACTCACAAAGTTACTTACCTGTATGGTAGTTACCCTTTGCCAATAGCTGAAAGTCAGTTATATTGCTGGCCAAACGTTTGCTTCTGAAATGTACAAAGAGATTCAGGCAAGTGTATCTTCTATGCATAAGACATCAAGTAATGTGTGTGTGTCACAGTATTCAACAGTCAAATTTACAATAGTCGTTCCTGTTATGCCAGCAGTGGTTTACATTTTTAGGTAATCAGGTTAACTTGGCCTTTGGAAAAGGATACAGTTTAGTCCCTCAGAAAACTTCTGAAAACTCTCTCAGTTGCATCAAATACTGAATACTTGCTAAATCCAAACTTTCACAGCAATTACACAGATAACTCACATGCATGTCTTCTTAGAAGTGCATTTCGCTTAGTTCACTTAGGTAAATGGGCCTTCAAAGCACTCCTCCTCTAGCCCAGCTCCAGCAATGAGTGGAGGTAAGAAGTAAAGTGAGGGGGAGTACAGTAAGGGAGAGAAGAAGAGTTCAGCTAGTTTTACTTGCATGTCATTTTTAATATCTAAAGCAGCGTCTTCCCCTTCTCGCCATACCTGTAATTATACTGATAAAAACATCTCCGTTTTCAGAGGAGTTACCTTGTTAGTTCATTCGACACATATAAAATGGCATCTTTTGCACCTTAAAAAGTTATAAATAAGGAAAGTAAGGAGTGATAAAATATGGCATGACCATTCTGTGATTGTGAGATTGTATGTTCCTGTGAGGCAAAAGGCTATGCTGATGGCAATAACAGTTTTATGACCATTGTGGCATCAAATCTGGGCTGAGAAAGGCAGTATAGAAATGCTGCAAAGTTCCTTACCTTTGCCGGACTCCACAACTTCAACTAGAATAAGAGATCTACCTCTTTCTTGTATCTCCCTATTACTCTTGAAACCTGTTTTAGAGGATTCGAACACCCTTTGAGACAAGAATGCTGCAGCAAAAGGGAGAGGGAATAAAGTTTCAACTTTGCTAACAATGGACACCAAAGGAGTTGGTTGGAGCTTGATCTGTGTGTTTTGCGAGATGCTTTTCAAGCCATATTTTCATCTATTTTGCCACCATAACCTTCTCTCTTCTACTTTCAGTGGTGCAGTGCCAGCCACCCCCAAATATCCAAAATGGATTTCACAGCAAGCAGGAAGGTGTCGTGTTTCCCCATGAAGTGTCTGTGACTTATACATGCCATCCAGGCTACATTCTTCTTGGACAGGATACTATTTATTGCACCGGATCAGGCACATGGTCTTCCCCTGTCCCGCACTGCAAATGTACATTTCTTGACCAGAGTAAAGTATTTGGGCTCAGATGTATTTTTCAAATTTTGGAATATCTATATTTGCAAATACATACATAATGAGATATCTTATAGATAGGACACAAGTCTAAATCTGAAATTAATTTATGTTTTATATAGACCTCATATACATTACATGAAGATAGTTTTATACAATATTTTAAATAAAGTTGTGCATAAAACAAAGTTTATGTATACGGAACCATCAGAAAGCAAAGGTGTTAATATCTCAGCAATCTATGTGGGCCATTTTGGATTATAGGGTATATTGGGATTTCAGATAGGAGATGCTCAGCTTGTATTATCTTAGGACAGTCTCCTCAAATTATACTATAGTAAGTGAGTAAAACATGCACAATTGGAAGGTTCTCTCAACTTTCAGTTCTACCATCTTTTGCAAAGAGGACATGAAATAGGCCATATGTTTGTGAAATGTTTTCACAGATCATACATGTCCCTCAGATTTACTTGTCTCTCTCTCTCTCTCTGACCCACTGTAGCCGTGGAAAGGATGCTCACCACAGTGTCAAAGAATGCAGATAGTAAGAAGGTGGAGAAAGAAACAAAGGAAGAAAGAGACAGAGATGTAGTGCCAGGGCCACCAAGAGAAACAGGTATATTCCAATGTACTATAACACACTCTGCACTCCTGCACAGTTGTTTTCCATGGAATAGCCATCTGTCCTCTCATCTGTCATTCAAATTCTACAGAGGAAACAATAAGCACTTTAAGAGAGCACTTACTTACCCTGGAGAGGTCTGCACCAATTTCTCCTCTCATGCTTACAAATGAGCTGCTTGCAAGTGTCCTTAGCCTCAAAGTCACCTATGACTATTTTTATTATTATTTATTAAGCTGCTCTGGCAGTCCTCCCAGCACGCAGAAATGATTTGCCAGGAGGCAGGAGTGGGGGGAGCAAATCCACTTTGGCACGGATTTGGGTGCTGTCTGTAAGCGCCCTGGATTTCACAGTTAAATACTGACAAACATTTTTTCTCTTTTTTATTGCAGGAGGCAGCTGTGGTCCTGCATTAAAGCTTGACTTTGCTGAGGTTGCAGAGAACTTTAGAGAAAACAGGTCCTTTCCTATTGGCTCTACAGTGAAATATATCTGTCGTCCAGGGTACTATAGGCACCATGGGCGGAATGCCTCTCTTACATGCATTCAAAATCAAGAGTGGTCAGAAATTCAGGAATTCTGTATACGTGAGTCTCTTAAAATGTTTGAACAAGTTATGGGGGAGAGAAGAAGAAAAGAATGGTAGGTCAATAGATAAACTTTTAAAAAAGGACATACCACCTCATCACACTGGAGGTTTTTGGCCCCTTTTTCCTCTTTGGGATGGGGCCTGCCTAGTGTCATCAGACAACGCTGGCTTGACCCCAGCCCCATTCATTACAAAGTAGTGAGGAAGCATCACAAGAGACTTCCTAGCCTATGACGGAGAGGTAAGTGGGTTTTGGGTAGCTCCAATGGAGCTACCCACATTTTTGGTGCCTTTCCCCCATTTGATGGAGAAAAGGCCAATGTAGCAACACACATAGCCACCCTTTCTCCCATCTGATGCGTACAGGGACAGGGTGCCTTTTCCCATTGTTGCCGTCTGATGGGGGAGGATGGAGCACATGCAGGGAGCTGCAATTGCCTGCAAAATGGAGCAACGTGTGAAGAGGTCCTGATCTCAGGGATTTCAATGTGTGTGTGTTTATTTTGTTGTTGTATGCCTTCAAATAATTTCTGACATGGTGACCCTAGGTTGAACCAGCTATGTGGTTTGCTTGGCAAAACTTGTTTAGAGGTATTTTGCCTCCCTCTGAGGCTGAGGAAATGTGACTTGCCCAAGGGGACCCAGTGGATTTTCAGGGCCGAGCATGGGTTTGAACCCTGATCTCCAGAGTCATAGTTCAGCACTCAAACCACTACTCTTCACTGGATATGAGTGTGTATGTGCCTTCAAATGGCTGAAAATCCACTGTATACGCGCCTTCAAGTCACCTGTCAACCCAGGAATTTTCTTAGGCCAAGAATATTCAGAGGTGGTTCTGCCAAGTCCTTCTTCTGAAATACAGTCTATAACACCTGATATTTGTGATAGCCTCAAATCCAAGTGCTAATCATGGCTGACTATGAGCTTAACAGCCAAGATTAAATGTTTTTAGGATACTTAGGTCCTTATGAAATTCAATATAAATAAATCTTCAAACTGTGAAAATGGTTTTGCAGGTGGACCATATGATAATAAACAGAAACATTGATTTTGTTTACTTTGGGAAATCTGTCATAAGGAGGAAAATGTTATTTGTCTTATTTTCTTTAAGGAAAGTCATGTGGAAATCCTGGTGAACCTGAAAATGGCAGGCTGCTTGTATCAGGAGATTTTCTTTTTGGTTCTACTATAAATTACACCTGTGATGAAGGGTAAGCCTCAGGAAAGGCAATTGAAGATGACAAAATGATGGCAAATTAACCTTACATGCTTTCTAAAGGGAGAATCATTTTGAATTACAAAAATATTTCATGTTTTTAAAATGGCTTAGAGGTTACAGTCCTCCAAGGTTCTGTGAGAGGGAAATATGTGATCCCATAGCATAGCTAGTGTCTACTCAAGCAATAAAGCTACTATTCCTTTTTGGTTTATTATTCTCCATTAATATGCTTTCTGCTTAAGGGGAAGTTGTCTTACAACACATTCCTTTCATTTGCAATACAAGGAAAACCTCATTGCTTGGTTTCTCCAGTCTTCAATAAGCCATAGCTGATATGGCTACTTTTGATGGATGGGCTTAGGATCAATCAAAATGCACACATATATACAAGCTAACCTTTAAAAATATGGCATAAACATTGAGTACTGGGAAGCCCTGGCACTCAAACATTTTAACTTGGAGTCAGCTGCTACCAATGGTGCTATGTGTCCTGTTTTGCTCTTTAAAACAGCCTCAATACAAAATTGAAAGTAAAAGAAAAATGCTTTACTCCAGCAAACAAAATAAGCATATGCAATCGAAAAAGAAAACAAGGAAGTCTTACTACAGACACCAATGAAAGTCCCAGCAAAAAGTCCCAGCAAAATCAGCAGACAATAAGGCACAGATCACAAAGCCCTTAACACAAAGCAGGTTCCGGCAGTAACAGAGTTGTTGTTAGCAGCGAAAAGCTAAGTTCTCCTGCTTCTGGTTTATACCCCATGCAGGAGGACTTAGGGTGTCACCCAATGAGCTCATCAATCTTTTAGCAGCTAATCGAGCTGACCGCCGCCTGTTCTCTGATTTTCTAAAAAAGTAGGCACCTGCAAAGCCTCATTGTTGGATTCTTCTTCCTATCCCTCCAAGACCTGAGCACCTCCCTGCTCTCCTTCCTCTTCCGATAATGAGGAATCCCCAACACTATGCATGTATTTTGAAGAGGCACAAATACAGGGGGAAAGGCAGAAATGTGCCAAGAGGAAGTCATGTCAAGCAATCCTTTGTTGTAACCATCTTCCATCTGAAAATTTATGTCCTCATTATGAAAAACCATTTGGATCCAGAATAGGTCTCTAAAGTCACTTGCAGATCCACCAGCAAGACTGCATCTAGAAGACAATCATACTGGGCCAATAAAGACCAGCAGAATAGGAAGGCAGGGCTGACTTCTGATAAAGCATATTTGAATAATCTTTTATCAGCAAGCATTGGTGAAGAGTGCCCAACTAGAAATAATGTGAAGATGTTATATGGAATCTGAGGTTTTGATAAGCCATGTGTTTGAATAAACAAACACTTATTTGATAGCCTCCAACACTGAAACTGGCATATGAATAGCTAACCAGCATCAGAACACTGGTCAAAATGGCAGAAGTAATGAATAAGGAAGAATACACAAACTAGCGACCTAATCAGATGGGGTGAAATCAGCATCCTAGGATATTTTCACCTTGTCTGGGGTATGGAGGCTGATGCCAGACATTGTACAATGTCATGTGACTTCTGGCATAGGCCCCGCCCCCAACCGGGGTGAAAGTGTTGCCTACTTTTACACTAGGAACCCGGTTTTCAACAATTGAAGTTAGATGAGGACAGAGAAGAAAGGTGAGCAGAAGTGAGATAAAAATTTCTTTTTAAAAGCAAATGAAAAAGTGAGATCACAGAGCATTAATTAAAACTGGTTTTGCCAGACTGGAAGTTAGAAGGTATGAGAATATCAGTTGGGAGGAAAGAAACCAGATTGTTAGGGGAGCCAAATGTACTTGGAAGAGTGGTTGCTAGAATCCTGAACAGAAGCAGTGTTAAACTTCCTACTGACTACTTCATCACACTAGAGAATGAATCAACTTTAAATGTGGAAACTTTATCTTTACTTTTTAAAATCAATGTTAGGTTGTTTTTTTTCTGTAAGCTGATTTGGGTCTCATTCTGGGAAAAAGGCAGAGCATAACTTAAATGACAAACAAGCAAACAGATAAGTAATAGAAGGTATTTATGGCTATTTTTCCACCTTTTTATGGACCCACATAGAGATCTTGGTGCCAAAAAAGCTACAAAAGGCAAAAACCAAATGCATTTTCTCATCATTTATTTAGTTGGGCTTTTTTCAAGGAAATGTGAACAAGGTTCCACCTTCATATGAAAGCTACTTATGCCTTCTTTCAGTGGTCTGTGTGTGAAGATTGTTTTGTCTTAATTTATATGTGTAATAGTCGATGGAACTGTTGTTTTATTTCTCTTCATACTGCTCATAAACCCATTCTTCATGACCCAGAAGGAGACCTGGCTAGCTTACTCAAAAGCTATCAGCCAACAGGTAGGATCCCAGCACTGGCCATTAAAAGAAGTATCAGGAGGTTCCATTTTTACTACAATGGTTCCTCAATGTGCAATATCTTTACATGGGAAAAATAAGTTCTTCGTCCATATTTGCTTCATTTTCATATAGGTTCAAACTGATTGGTGAATCTTCCAGACAGTGTGAGGTATCAGGCCGAAAAGTAGCATGGACTGGTGGCATTCCTCTTTGTCAGAGTAAGTAAGGAACACCTTAAAAGATGGGGATCTCAATTTTGTCCTGGTTCATCTCTTTGCAAACAGCATTTCAAGACTTCGGGAAGATGGTAGATGAATATGTAAGATGACTATGGGAAAGATGGGGAAGGAGATAAAGGCATATTGCAGTCAGACTCTTGGGGCAACATGACAATAAATCTGTGACAAAAGATTACTGTAGATCATTTTCATGAATGTGAGATAATCCACTACTAAGTTATCTTGTGCAAGGCCAGTTGGCATTAATGACATTTTCAGAAGCTTATAATAATGTAATCTACTTAATTGAAGGGGATTGGGTTCTGGGTGCTTTTGCTAGATTATTTTTAATGTATTTCTGTTGGGATGGTTACATAGAAGAAAAAATTAATACTATCAATGAAAGGGAGAATGGGTTCCCTTTTGTCTCCATGGTGTCATGACTCACACAAAATGCCTAGCAATGAATTGATAGCCTAATGCCCTTCCAACATTTTGTTCTTTATGTTGTGCCTAGTATTTTGAAAACATCCCAATGCTGGATATCTGCAGTGTTGGATAATTTACTTTTAATCCATTCAGTTTCCATTTCAATAATAATAATAATAATATCAGATATTTAAAATTGTAGAGAATAATTATAGTAATAATCAGCAACCAGAGCAACATCGATCAACAAATTGTAATACAAAAACAAAAGCAGCCATAAAAATATTCAATTATAACATCAAAACATCACAAATTATAAAACATATTATACAGAACATAAGAGGCAAAAACCAGCTCCTATTAATAACCAGTTAAAATCCAGCTGGTATTCGAATCAATTTGAAAGCCTCCATCACTTAAGTTATGGTCAATCGTTGTTGATGGCCTGCTTCCACATCCATGTTTTTAGTTGTTTTCAAAAACTCATTAGAGTGGGGGGCAATTTGATTTCTTTGGGAAGAGTATTCCAGAACCAGGGGGCCTATAGACAAGTTGAGAATAAACTCACAAATATTACTCATAAATGTACCAAACTAAATAATAACAAGACATGTATCACATTAAAAACATTTTAAACTTGCTCATTGTTGATGTGAACCATAAAGCCAATTAAAATGCTCCCAATTGCACTTCCATAATTAGATGCAATTAGCTGCTTTCAAAGGTTTGTTTCCATAGCCACGTTTTCAGTTCCTTCCTAAAGATCATTAGTGTGGGAGTCAATCTGTTTCCCCTCGTGGTCACGCCGGGTTATTACCATATGTGTAAATTCACAGGTGACCACTTGGGAAACTATGTTTACAGGTAAGCAACCTATATATCTTCTTAGGGAGGGCCACTACTGAGAAGGCCTTCTCCCTCATCCATACCAACTGTGCTTGTGATGGCAGCAGGGCCATGAAAAGCATTCCCCCAGTAGAACTCAGGGCCCAAGACTCCATGCATACTCATAGCATTGAACCAATGCAGTTAATGTGGTGTCAAACTGTATTGATTCTACAGTACAGATGCACCTTAGTCTATGAAAGCATGTGTTCAGGTTTGGCTGTCTTTTGGGAATAATCTTGCATGTATATTCTTTAATATTATGTACTTTGATATTGTTAAATCCGTGCATAAGTTCCATTTCTGCCCCCACACTATCTATCTATCTGGGAGGTGAACTGGTTGTGTAGGGAACAGATTGAAGGATGCTTAGACAAAGAGTCAACAAGATTTAATAACTAACAAAAAAAAGCTTAGACCTTCTCTCCTTCTGGGTCTAACTGGCAAAAGTGTTTAGAAAAGAAGCAAAGTCCTTAGAGGAGAGACAAAGTCCTTAGCAGCTGAGGGAGAAAAGGAAAAGGCCCGAGACTGTTAGGAATTGTGGGAGTTGAAGTCCAAAACATCAGGAGAGAGGGCCAAAGTTTGCCCATGCCTGTATAGACTGACCCCCCCCCCCACACACACACACACACATACACACACACAAACTACACATAAAATGTTTCTTTTGTGTGTCAGGAGCGACTTGGGAAACATCAAACATAAAATGCTAATCCCTTCTAACTGAAAAGGGGCTCAAAATAGGGGGAAATAGTGAGGGTTCTCGTAGAAGTATGACAGTTCTTCTCAACTGTAGGTCCCCATATGTTTTGCCTTCAACTCCTAGAAATCCTACCAGCTGGTAAACTGGCTGGGATTTCTGGGAGTTGTAGGCCAAAACACCTGAGGACCCACAGGTTGAGAATGACTGTTCTAAGGAATGGCTCATTGGAAAGAAAATTACAAATACTCATTTTAATGTACTTTCATTGTCTTTAGGTATTTCATGTTTGCCACCACCAGATATTCTCCATGGCACGCACAATGGCAGAAATTTAGACAACTTTGTCTATGGGATAGCTGTAACATATACCTGTGACGAAGGTTATCCCCTTGTTGGAAACTCCCCCATCTACTGCACTACTAAGGATGGGTTAAATGGAGTGTGGAGTGGCCATGCATATTGTGGAGGTGTGTTGTTCTTTGTTCTTCTCTTACAAGTCCACTTTGAGGTGATAAAGCTCAGGAAAGCTTAAATTTATTTCGTGTTATTCTCCAAAAGAAGCCACATCTGTCAGTAACACTGTATTGTCAGGAAAATGTACAAATACAGAGGGAAAATACACTACTTTTGCTCTGTCTTTTTAGTGATTAGCTGCCTCTCTCCACAAGTTGAGAACGGAAGAATGGAGAACAGCCCTTCTGACACCTATAGATATAATCAAAAAGTAACCTTTGTCTGCAGTGCTGGCCACAGATTAACTGGCTCTAGAGAAATCTACTGCCAAGTGGATGGAACATGGGACCCTCCCTTCCCTCGCTGTGAACGAGGTAAAAAAAAAGTTTTCATAGTTCTGCATCTGCATATTTTTCTACCTGCAAATAAGCAGTGTCCTTTTGGCTAATAACAAATCTTGGCTCACTTGAGATCAACAATTCTATTCTCCACTAGGTATTGCACAGTTACTTTGAAGGATGTTCCTCCAAAAGAAATGAAAAACCTTTCATTTTATAGGATAATTATTTAAAGAAATTGTTGCAGTTGCCCAATAATCCTATAGGGTGGGAAATGATAGTAATGTGCTTTAGGATAGGAAAGTTAATATTAGGATTTACTTTCAGTTCAATTTCTTCAGTATCTTCTCCTGTCCCCATGCAAGGAGAATGTGCACTTTTGCTATTGGCTTTGGAGACAAGTTCTTTGATATTTGTGTTCTGACTGATACAAAAGCTTTTAAATAAAGAAAAACAAATAAAATACCAGGCTTTTAAAACATGGCAAAGAAAGGTCCCAGAGATGTCAGTGAGACTCCCGCGAGAAAGATGATATAACAAACAAAAAAAACCCATTAACACATGTATTATTGAAGCCGTTCACAGCCAATATCGTTGGAGTGTTGTGTGGTTTTCAGGCTGCATGGCTGTGCTCTAGCAGCATTTTTTCCTGACATTTCACCTGGAGAAAATGAAACATAATCTGTTTCATTTTCTTGATCTGTGAAAAGGAAACAAAAAAAATGAAAATATTCTGTCTCAGCCTTTCAAGGGCTAAGCACTCAAAGCTCTGATCTACATGCAGTCATGCCAGCCACGTGACCTTGGAGGTGTCTATGGACACCACCAGCTCTTCAGCTTAGAAATGGAAATGAGCACCACCTCCCAGTCAGACATGACTAGACTTAATATCAAGGGGAAAGCTTTACCTTTACACTGTTTCTTTCAGTCAACTCTGTCTTATGAGAGGGATAACTGCACAAGGAAATACAAGGCAATTTTATGCACTTCTCTTTTAACAGCACTGGGTGATGAGATCACTACATTATGTTTTCCAAAGCTACAATAAATTTCCTATTGCTCTCTTAGTTAGGCACTTGTAACAATTATTTATGCATATTCATCTTACATGGAATTGAATTACCATCTGCACATCAATTTATAAAAACTTTCGCTCCATTCTGGCTCAGTTCCTTTTCTAAATCAAATCTAATAGTGGCTTCATTTTTTTCTTTTGCAGTCATTGAGTGTAAAATGCCAGAAATTCAGAATGGAAGAGCAACAGTATCCCAAGTACTAGTCCAGCCTACAGGGGAAATTACATTTGAATGTAACCCTGGCTACCTCCTGAAAGGCAACCGGACAATTGCATGCAAATCTGACAGCATGTGGGATTCTCCTGTGCCAGTCTGTGTCAAAGGTATGAGGGATAGTTAAATTCCATCCCACTGATATTTATAGTTTTCAGATTTGTGCATAAAAAGGAAAAGGCCTGGTGCTTTTATGTGATTCTTTCATACCTCCGTTCTAGCAGGTTAGCCACTTGACAACTCTGTATCATTTATTGGAAAAATACTGCTACAGTTCCTTTTATACTACCCAAGGACTGGAACTGGAATAAATCAAGTATATTTAAAGATACATAATATCAAATTATTGTATAACACTTGAAGTCAGGAGTACTTACATCTCAGCAAGCATATATAAGTACAGCAGACTTGTTTTTATAAAGCTTTTTGAGGCCAGAATCTTTATATATTTTTTCATAACTCCTTTCCTCTTTTTTTCAGAAGTTCAATGCCAGCTACCTCCACATGTTAAAAATGGAAATCACAATAAGCAGGAAGTAGCTATCTTTACCAGTGGAATATTTGTGGAATACACATGTAACCCTGGCTATAATCTTACAGGAGATAAAACTATTTATTGCACAGATTCTGGCACATGGTCTTCGCCTACCCCTCTCTGTACAGGTATGTTTCTAAACCAAACTAGTCAACTCTGATCCAAGCTAAGATAATATCCTTTTCTTTGGGCCTGCCCAGGCACTGAAAGGAGGCAGTTCTCTCAATTCCACTGCCTTCACAGGTATGTCTGGTGGGAACACATGAGAGAAATGCATTCCCCAAAGATGATAGTGTATGAACATACTCTTATGAGAGGACACTGTCCTTCAGGAAGTTTGGACTCAAGTTTCATAGGGCTTTGTATATCATTAACCAGCACCTTGACTTATGTCTGAAAATGGACTAGCAACCAATGGAGTTGTTCTATATCCTTTTAATCAGCCTTTATTTGTTAATCTAGGTGCAAATCTTTGGTGCAATGAAGCTTCAAAGCATTCTTCAAAAGCATCACTGCCTTGTGTGTTTGCATTGCTTGAATCCTCAACACACATAGAAATGCATTACAATATCTTAGGAGCAAAGCTAATGGGGCATTGAAAAGTATAGATGAGAGCTTAGGGAGCAGGGTATGTTTAGCTTGGAGAAAATAATCTATCATGCCTGTATTTGTACAGCACTGTTTTCTTGCATTCATACAGTGAGGGCCCTTGTGTTTTATTCTGTGGTTTGGATAGGTAAATTTAGAATTGTGGCATGGCATTATTCATCTACCAATTGTGATCTTCAAGACTCTAAGTTTAGCACATATTTGCTATTGAAAAATATGCAAATTATAGCTATTACTATGGCCAACAGGTACGGTGCAGCCTCTAAAGCATGAAGCCAATTCCTGCCACAATGTGAATGTTTTTGAGTGGTTTTGCTCAGGGACTTTTACTATGTAAATTAAATAAATGGTATTAATGGCCTTGTATTCTTTTTTTATAATTATGCGTTGTCCGTTGCCTCCAAAGATTGTCCATGGAACATATATTGGAGAAGACGTCATCTGTAGGAAGAGTGTAATATATATTTGCAATGCAGGCTATTCTCTTATTAGATAATTTTCAATGCTCACGTATTGTGAACTGGAACAAACCTCCCAAATGCAAAGGTTCGTTGGTTTGTTTGGATTTTTACAGCTCTTATATCTATCCACACACACATTTCATTAAAACCCATCTTTTGGGTGGAATTATCTTGTATGGATTTGTAGCCACAGTGTTGTTTTCTGAATATGAGGCTTGTATGTGTTTAGGGCTAACTTCCAAACCAATCTTTTGATAGCCATTTATTTGCACTGAAATATTTTCTCTACAGGATGCCTTGCACCTCCACAGATTGCCAATGGCAGAATTGACACTGAAATTCTAGGCAATGATTTCCCTTTTGACTCATTGGTAACTTACCATTGTGATCCTGGCTACTTTCTCAATGAATCAGCAACAATACACTGCCTATCTTCTGGAACATGGGATCAGCCAGCCCCTCAGTGCAAAAGCAAACAAGGTATAGTGCAGCACATTTAGTCTTGGCAGCCCAAAGACTAGTAATTTTATAAGAAGTGTGCACTGCTAACACGTGTAAAAACACATGAGTCACAGTATAAGGCAAATAATCTTTTATCCTCTTTGCAGTCAGTAGCTGTGTGAGTCCAGGAATTCAGCATGGAAAAATAATGAGATCTAAAGTGGAAGAGAAATCCACAGAAACGGTTAGAATTGAATGTAATCCTGGATATATCCTCAAAGGCAACCATACAATCCAGTGCACATCTGACAGAATATGGGACCCTCCTGTGCCCATATGTATCAAGGGTATGTAGGAGTAGAACTTTGGCTGGATTATATTTGTCAGTGATGTATGGAAAACCCACTAACATTTGCTTGGATGTGAAAGTCTTAGCTGCATTTACTTCTATTCAAATCACTTCTCAACAGAACTCATACATGAGCTGTGCTAAAAACATCTGCAAAAGCTTATACTGGTTGCTTAATCACTAAGATAGCTTGTTAAACCATTTCTCCACCAATTCTCCACCTTCCTACTGAGATCCATCTTCTAAGCCATGGATTCCATCGCTGTTGTTTTTTGGGGGGAGGGGGGATACTCAGAGGTGACCTCTCATTACCTTCCTCTGAAATATAATATACAGTACCTGATATTTCTTAGAGATTTTAATTTTGCACTTACATTCACTCTTCCATCCTCACTACAGGGAGCAAGAAGAAAACTTTAAGTGTACACTTTATTTTTGGATGTACACTATTATAAGTAATCGAATGTGTAAATAATCTGCAAAAAAATCACAAAAAATGGGTTGGCAGATTAAATGGTTGGACAATGAATGGTGCAGCAGATGGTACATCTAAACAGAAGAATGAGAGGCTGAGAGGAGATATGATAGCCATGTATAAATATGTGAGAGGAAGCCACAGGGAGGAGGGAGCAAGCTTGTTTTCTGCTTCCTTGGAGACTAGGACGCGGAACAAAGGCTTCAAACTACAAGAGAGGAGATTCCATCTGAACATTAGGAAGAACTTCCTGTGAGAGCCGTTCAGCAGTGGAACTCTCTGCCCCGGAGTGTGGTGGAGGCTCCTTCTTTGGAAGCTTTTAAGCAGAGGCTGGATGGCCATTTGTCAGGGGTGATTTGAATGCAATATTCCTGCTTCTTGGCAGGGGGTTGGACTGGATGGCCCATGAGGTCTCTTCCAACTCTCTGATTCTATGATTCTATGACTCTTGGGGTGAAATTGGCCATTCCTAATTGCAACAGTTTTATCTTACTTTGGTTACAATCTCCCCTGCTATGGACATTCAATCAGGAACCCAAACTGCTAAGGAATCCTGTTCATAGTGAGCTACTTTGGTATATAGAACAAATGAAGCTACAATATTGGGGGGGGGGGGGGGGGGGTGATGTGTGTGATTGGAGGCTGTGTGCTCATTATAAAACCTACATTCACTCTGTGTTTATCCAAGTTGCTAATCATGCAGAATCTGGGACATTTTACCTTTCATTCTAACTTGGGGATGTAGGGAAGGAACCTGCTATTGAAACTTCCAAAATTAGTACCCAAGGGTGTACTTTGACTTGGAAAAATCAAGTGCATGGAATTTGGACATTTTAGACATGTAGGTAACAATTGTGATTTCCCCTGGCCAGCCACATTCTTATTTTATTTCATTTTTTAGAGCTTCCTTCTTTCTTCTTCTTTCAGAAGTCCAGTGTCAGAAACCTCCACATGTCCATAATGGAATTCATAGCAAGCAAGAAGTAGCAATCTTTACCAGTGGGATATCTGTGGAATATACATGTGATCCTGGTTACAATATTACTGGAGAAACAATTATTTATTGTACAGAATCCGGCACATGGTCTTCCCCCACTCCTTGCTGTAAAGGTAAGTTTATCAACCACAAGACTGTCCATAGTGACTTTCGAACTTCAAGATGAGAAGTTTTGTTTATGTGAGTTTGATACATATGTGCAGAAATTGATACTTTAAGATTAATCCTTTGAAGGCCAATTCAAATCATTCCCAAACTGGACACACACTTAGGAAACACTTCACATTCATTCAGCTTTTTATAGAACAGTGGAGAATGTGATGATTGAAAGTAAGATTGGCAATTACAATTGTTCCATTAGAATCCATGGCAACATCTTTGGTGCCATTTTTATTATGTAAATTTTATAACTGAGCTATAATTTGACAAGTCATGGGAATCCATGCTAGGGATTCATACAAATAAGATATTATGGATTTCTTCTTCAGTGTTGACAACAAAAGTTGTCTCCAAGTTAACAGACTTGGGTTTAAATAGTTTGTGAATCGGAGAGCTTTCGCGCTCTTTCATAGTTTTGTGCATTCACTTTGCTGTATCCATAAACAAGGCAAAGCTTCAGTTATTGGCTGTGTGTTTTGAGTACTGAGCCTTTGGTGATCTGAAAGAACACACCTGATATCCAGTCTCAATACATGCTGTTGCCTCCTAGTTGCTCACACAATTTAGTGTGTAATAAATAAATCTCTTGAAGACAATTTGTTTTGACTTCTTGAAGGTAAAAATATGTATGTTTTTGTATACACATAAGTTTTTCTATTTTCTTTGCAGAGGTACAATGTCCCCTCCCCCAAGATGTGGAAAATGGGATTCGCAATAACCAAGAAACTTCAGTGTTCACCCGTGGAATGTTTGTGAAATATTCATGTGAACCTCCCTATACTCTTATTGGAGAGGCAACCATTTATTGCACAAATTCTGGCACGTGGAGTCCTGCTGCCCCTTGTTGTAGACGTAAGTGTCTTACTCACTATTAAAGGTGGTTTCTTTTGCAGTGAATAATGCCAAACTGCAACCAGATAATTCAAAGGTCTTTTTAAAAGCATCTCTGAACCGAGAATATGTATCCTTCCAAATGAGGAATTTGCATCTTCACATACTTCATTCGCATGAACAAGAATTTGAGAAATATGTGGAGAGTTTTGCATTTTCCAACAAATGTGGTGTGCAATTTGCCATGTAGCAAGGTCTCAGGGCCAAGCAGAAGTGGAGAGGTAGCCTGATGTGGCTTCTGTGAGACAATAAGTTTCTAGTGTCCTTGAAGCCCTTTAATCTTGGCCGCAAGGAGGGAGAATCAGCCAATGATTTTGATCTTTTTAGTATGGAATCATGGGCTGGCTGAACCCAGATGTAGTCCCCACTCCAGAGCTGGGCTCTGTCCTATTTAATTCATGCCAACAAAGAGTGTCCAGCACTCTTTGCCTAGCTATCATCCCACCCTTTACTTCATTGTCAGATTTGTACTTTGCCACAACTTTAGGAGCAGTTGCTGTGGATCATGGATCTGTGGGGTATCTTTTTCCAGGGTCAGCTGGACAGTGATTAAGGGGTCCCCTACTGGGGCCTCGGAGGGGGGCTGGGGTGGTGAAGGGCTTTCACTGGCTGGAGTCATCCCCTGGTGGAAAGAGAGCATGAAGGGCAGCTGCTCCCAGGCACTCCTAAGGACTCTGGTAGCAGACCAGAGGGTAAACCTCACTGATAAATAGGCGGGTTGGCCAAGGTACAGATCCTGACCTATCCAAGCAACAACTTCTTTCTTTGGAGCTGCAACCAATAAAAATGTGGCCAACATTTCCCACTTTCAACTCCAAAACTGTGTGTGGTGTGGTTTTCTTCTTGGAATGGGTTTGCGTGTGCATCTGCAGTGCCATGGTTTTGCAATGATTTTTCATATTTTGGGACTTTGTACAAATTTCACATTTTTTTCTTTTTTGCATACAATATTTTAAATACATCTCTGAAGATTCCTTTTGCCATTTTTGGCCAAGAAATTTGCAAATATTTTTTACATCTCTTTTTTGAACTTGGAGGGCAGCATTTAAATATAATGGCTAAAATGTGTGGCTTCCAATGGCAGAATTGGATTAGGAGCAGAAAGAGCTTCTTTATTTTGGTGGAGTCACATGAATCAGTGCTAGGAATGGATACTGGAACATGTGGTACCCTGATTTTTTAAAGATATTAGCAATCCATGACTGTTGCCTTTTTTAAATTTCTCACCTTTATGTTTTATATGAAGTAAAATGAAATAGTTCAGACTTCTTCCTTCCCTTGTGTTCTGAAACTTTTTTTCCCACTTTCATTCTCAAATTAGAAGTGGTGATGGGAAGGAGAGTGAGTGAAAGAGGGAGAACACTTTTAGAAGTTCCTTGATTTAATTTTCATATTTCCTGTGTCTGTAAAATGAATGAAACATTTCCACTTAAAAGAGATTTGTAAACACTTTTCATAGATAAATGAATAAATATATTTCCAGGTACTCACTTTGAAGACAATAAGAGTTGAAATTCCAGAGCTTGGAAGTGACTGGTTCTAAAAACTGTAATTTTTAGTTATGGTGATAGTTGCAGTTATGTGACCTCATGATGCCATTGTTTGAATTTTGTTGTCGTTGTTGTGTGCCCTTAAGTCATTATGATAATTCTAAAGCAATTTTGTCACTATCCTTCCTCCCCCCTCAAGATTTTTTAGAGGGGGGATGTCATCACATTATTAGATGCTGAGACGGTGCGAGCTGCCCACTAGTTTTCCAAGGCTAAGGATTCAAATTACACCACAGTGACTCTGAACAATGATGGAAGAATATCAATTGATCAGCAATGAGAGATGGGATTTGAGTACATTTTGTGGCATAAGCCAGCAGTTTCAAGCACCAAACTACTTATTTTAGTTACTCTTCACAAATATGACTATGGAAGGGTTTTTTAAAAATAATAATAATAGTAGCTAACTACTTTGTGGATGAATGGAAAAATAATTATATTTAAACAGCTGATTTCCAAATATAGAGTTATTGTGGCATGGGACTGAAACTTTTGATATTTTCTTATATTAGAAAATTTATTTATTTCAATTACTTCTACCCCACTCTTCTCACCCCCGAGGGGGGACTCAGGGCAGCTTACAAACGAAGGCACAAGTCGATGCCTAAATCAATAAACAAACAATACATAAAAGCAATTTAAACGATTAACAAGTTAAAAACATTAATACATAGTAAAATAGCAAAACAATCTCATGCTCAGTGTTCAGAGTCCGTTTATCCATTCCATTCCGTTCGCCCTTGTTTATCGTCAGATCTTTCCTTAGCTGCCAGAATATCCAAAAGTTTGGTCCCATATCCAGGTCTTCAATTTTTTTCTGAACGCCAAAAGGGAAGTCGCTGTTCTAATCTCCCCGGGGAGTGAGTTCCACAGGTGAGGGGCCACCACTGAGAAGGCCCTGCTCCTCGTCCCCGCCAACCTCACTTGTGATAGTGGGGGGTCGAGAGCAGGGCCTCCCCAGACGATCTTAAATTTCGAGATGGGATGTAGAGGGAGATCCGTTCTGACAAATACACTGGGCCGGAACCGTATAGGGTTTTGTAGGTCAAAACCAGCACTTTGAATTGTGCTCGGAATTGGATCGGCAGCCAGTGGAGCTGGCGTAACAGAGGGGTGGTATGCTCCCTGTACGCCGCTCCGGTGAGTAATCTGGCTGCTTCTCGCTGGACTAGTTGAAGTTTCCGAGCAGTCTTCAAAGGCAACCCCACGTAGAGTGCGTTGCAGTAATCCAACCGGGATGTAACAAGAGCGTGGACCACCGTGGCCAGATCTGACTTCCCAAGGTACGGGCGCAGCTGGCGCACAAGTTTTAATTGTGCAAAAGCTCTCCCGGCCACCGCTGAGACCTGGGGTTCCAGGCTCAGCGATGAGTCCAGGATCACTCCCAAGCTGCGAACCTGCGTCTTCAGGGGGAGTGTAACCCCGTCTAACACAGGCTGTAACCCTATGCCCTGTTCGGCCTTACGACTGACCAGTAGGACCTCTGTCTTGTCTGGATTCAATTTCAATTTGTTAGCTCTCATCCAGTCCGATACAGCGGCCAAGCACCGGTTCAAGGGCTGGACAGCCTCCTTGGTGACAGGTGGAAAGGAGTGACAGATTTGGACATCATCTGCATAAAGATAACATCTCATTCCGTAACTCCGGAAAAGGCAGCTTGCAGTTTGGAAGGGGACCAAGACAGAATGCCACTTTTGGCTTTCCATCACAGCACCAATTCATCTCTTATCTGCATTACATTATGAGCTCATAGCAATTGAAATACCTTTAAATCTTATTTGGTACATGACTACATACTCCCTATACAACTTCTGGAGCTTTACCTTTGCTTGTTATAAACAGAGGAACTGGTAGCACTTTTGCTTTGCTCTTTTGAAAATTCCTTGTAATGTTGGTGGTAGCCAGTTTACACAATAAATTTCCTCAGAATACAGTGTGGATGGGGGCAAAGTCTCTACAGCCTCCAAGCACTTAAATCGTTTTAAATAAATAATCTGTTACACACCTCCAGAAATTGTTAATAGAAAACATGACAGTGAAATTAAAGAAGATTATCCTTATGGTTCTGCAGTAACTTACCACTCTGATCCAGGCTACTTTCTTACTGAAGCAGGAACAATTTACTACCTGTCTTTTGGAATATGGGATAAACCTGTCCCTTACTGTAAAGGCGGACAATGTATATGACTACGTAGTTAATTATTTTTCAGTCTTGAAGCCCTGTCGCACTGGAATACATGACATGTAGGTCTAAATTCCTGAAAAGTCCCCTAAGTGTTGTACTACTTAGACTACAAAGATGTCATATTGGATATAATCTTCTGCATTGGGTATCATTCAGGTCATAATTGTCCATGATAATAGGAGAGAATAATGCAAGTGGATAGCCAGTGCAGTGTAGTTCTCTAAACATGATTGAATTGTTCTGTACTGTGATCTGAAGCAGAAAGTTGATTCATTATTCTGTTGTAGATATTTTCCAGCACTGAAACAATATTCTGCTTTGCTGCTTCTAGTGGTAGAGTGTTCCTTACCTCCAAATATCCAGCATGGGAAATACAATGCCTTGGAATCAACAAAATACACCAGTGGACAATTTGTCAAATATACCTGTGAACCTGGTTTTGTACTAAAAGGAGAGGCAATGATATATTGCACAGCTTCCGGAGAGTGGAGTCTTGCTGTACCATATTGTGAAGGTAAGATTTTGTACATTTTTTGGTTCTCCTTAATCAAGGAGTTTATACTGAAGAAAAAATTATAATCACCTTATAGTCGCTGAGATCTTAACATTCAGAATAATTGACAATTCACTTGGAATGAGGTTCTTTGTGACATCTAACACCTTTAAAATGGTTCAAAAGACTTTCCTTTTGCTCTGCAGTTTTTTAAAAAGTTTTGATATTTTGAGCATGTAGCATCACTATGGAGTTCGGGAAAGGAGTTGGGTGGAACAGACCTGGGCCAGGTCATTATCTGATCACTTGTGCCAAGAAGTGGCACTTTCCCAGTTTCAATTTTGAATTTTAAGTTTGTTGGCATGGTCAACATTTTATAAAAGAAGATGTGTGCATGGATACTTGCATATCAGTATATCAGTATTAGCACAGATGAGTAAAACAAGAAAGTTAATTGCCTCCTGGCAATTAAAATAGAAATCTAATACTTGGTACACACATGATGGGGGGGTGTGATAAAATTAGGGTGGCCATGACCATGTGGCTAAAAAATGAAGGAATAGAGTTGTGAACCACGCCAATACAGAGGCAAGTTTGCCAGGAAAATGTATTAAGGCAATCTCACCATGAGGTGTGTGATGTAAGTGGTAGTAACAGAGTCACTTCAGGATCAATATGAATGGGGAAAATGTGGTGCCAATGAGAATATATGTTTTTCAGTGTGGACAAGCCCCAAGACAGGCCATCAACAAACTAAATAATTTTTTGTCTGTTGAAAATTAGTCTAGACAAATCTATGAGAGTGAGGCCATTCATTTTTCACCCTTAGAAGTTCTTGAATATTGGTGGAGGTGGCATGGGGAGCAGGGTGAAATGAAAGTTACAGAAGTAAATCAGATACCATAACTGAGCATACATTTGTGTCACTGCATGCCCATTATATTGTACCAAGGTTCAATACTAAAAATACAAAAATATATTCCAAATAGCAGGAAAATACATCTACACCAAAATTAAATGCTTCTCCAGAAGTATATCCGAAACAAGATTCTATCTTCTTGACGTTTCTCTATTCATACTGAGCAGGTTTTAGAATGGAAGGCAAAGTGACATATTGCCAGACCTGTTGGAAATGAAGTCAACTGAGCACAGATCATGTTTTTCAGGACATACTGGAGTTCAAGAGGATTTTTGTCACTTTTTCAGTTTCTGTCTCTCCTTTTAGAAATTCGATGTCAGCAACCCCCAGATATCCAAAAGGGCACTTACAACAGCCTGGAAGTAGAAGCATTTAGTAGTGGGATGTCTGTGAGCTACACTTGTGAGGCTGGCTACACGCTCACAGGAGAGGCAACTATATATTGCACCAACTCTGGTTCATGGAGCCCACCTGCCCCTCGTTGTGAAGGTAAGTGTCTTCTCATCAGGACTGGTGAGTTCATTTGTGGTGCACATAACATGCAGATTGGTTTTATGAGAGAAATGTGCTGTCCAATAATTTTACCAGGAATAAAACTAACTTAGGACCTCTGTCAAAACCACCTCTGAGGAATCCTTGCTTAAGAAGACCCTTTGAAGTTTGTGGAGTCATCATAAGTCAACAGATGACTCGAAGGCACATACAAGCAAAATAATCATGGCTTTGACTGGTGTACAGAACCTGGAGGCTCTGTTTACATTTACATTTATACGTAGAACAGGAGTGACATTATACGCCCAATCTTCTTAGTGAAGGCAAGGACAGATTTTTTTCCTGTGATGTGAATGTATTACATTGTATAATAGTTGCCACCACATATAAGTCTCACCCCCATTTTGGGAGTGGGTGGGTGGGTGGCAAAATTAGCATTTTGCTGTTCTTTGCTTAATAGTCACAGCTGAGGAAAGACCCTTATCTGAAAAGGGGACAAGTGTGCGGGCTTCACCTGCCTAAACACCTCTCCCCTCTGAAATATTAAGCTTTCCTCTGCTGACAGTCCCTTTGCTGCTACAGGGCTTTCCTCAGCTGGCAACTGAGAGAAGCTCCGTAGCTGCATTTTTCCGCCATTTTTTTCAGCATGTAATAGTCACCACTGTGTGACAGTAAAAAGAGGGGGAGGAGGGAAGTATGATTATTGTGCAGTGAAATATGGTATTTATTTAAGGGTATCTATACCTCATCTGCAACCTAAAAGGCCCCCAGAATAACAAGGAGTTGGTTTGGCTGACAATCTAAATAAACCACAACATAAAAAGAGAATAGTAGAGTGGGAATTAAGTTCAGCAGTTCCTTACTGTTTTAGTTTGTCCTCTGAGGCTTCAGCAATAGTAGTTGCAACATGGAGGGGAAAGCAGGAGGTCTCATCAGCTGCATGGGGCAGGCATGATGGAACTATGCATGGCAGCTTTTCTCTTATTGAGTCCAGGTGGTTCATTTATACCTTAAGAGATTAAATGACTTTTTCATATCTGTGCTAGTAATGAACCAACAGTGATTGCATCAGGAGTAGTAATGTTAGCATTGTGTTCCTCAGTTTGAAACTTGTTTTGAGAGAAGCATGATACTCATGTGGTTTTGCTCTAGTGCTGCAGTGTGCCCCTCCTCCATCTATTCCAAATGGTAACCATAATGGTAATGGCTCAACTAGTTTTGATGTTGGAGGATATATGAATTACACTTGTCATCAAGGTTACTTGCTACGTGGGGAAGACTTCATTTATTGTACAGCGTCTGGAGCATGGAGTCAACCCCTGCCTCGATGTGAAGGTATTGCTATCATATTCTCTAATCTTATTATACTATGAATTAGGAATCCATAGCAATTTTCAGTTGACTTTTTCTGGTTTTTGTTTTCAGCTATGCATTGTCCTCTGCCGCCAAGAGTTGTCCATGGGGAGTACATTGGAAAAAACTTCAAATATGGGAAGTCTGTAGTATATATTTGTGATGCAGGCTATTCCCTTGTTGGAGATCATGTGGTTACCTGTGTTTTAGAAGGCGCAAACTCTGTGAATTGGACTGAACCTCCAAAGTGCAAAGGTTGTTTTAAGCCATTGTTCCCATCTACAGTTAGTCTCATGCAAACAACATGTACATTTCTACTTAAAGTTCATCTTTTACTTGTAGGTGCAGGACAATTGTTTTGAATGAAGTTATTCTTAGAAGTCTATGGCGAGGATGTAAATCGCTTTTCTGTCAATTTGAGATATTTTCCCTATAAAGCGCCTCAGTCGTCCAAGGACTGCCAACAAAATTCTCTTTCTAATCATTTTGTATTGTAATATTTTCTCGCCTCTATAGGATGCCTTGCACCTCTAGGGGTTGACAATGGAAAACATCGCAATGATTCTGGAATCCTGAAAGATTTTCCTTATGGCTCCTCAGTGACTTACTACTGTGATCCAGGCTATTTTCTTACTGGAGCAGCAACAATGTACTGCCTGTCTTCTGGAATATGGGATAAACCCGTCCCTCAGTGTAAAGATAGACAATGTATGTGGATGAGTGTAAGCAATTTTTCAAGATATGTAACAACTATATTTATAATATGAAATGTAATTTATGATATGCATTCATAAGTAAAATAAATGCTCGATTTCAGATAAAGGTTAGAGAAAATAAAGATAATGTTGATTGTTTTCCATTTCTCAGATCCACTGTTAAGAGCCACTTGGTTAGAGAATGGTGAAGGGCCTTTAGGTGTTTTGTAGGACCCTTATATATTTTTTTCTGATTCTATAGCTAGGATGATGAAACTTGACAAAAAGTTTGTCTTTCAGAATCACAGCTTAATGACAGAATCATAGGATAATGCTACATAAAGAAAAAAAATCACTAATGTTAGAGTAGTCCTGATACTTGCATATCCAATTCTTTGCTGTCGTTTTTAAGATAACATCACTTTCTTGAACAGTTACTAATTCAATTATTAAACTTTTAAAAACATTCTTTTTGAGATACGTAGGTCAAATTGATCAACCAAATCCATTGTCTAATTTTAAACTACATCTGTGCTGAAAACGTCCAAGTAATTGACTTTTTTTTACCCACAGCAAATGAGCTAATTGCATTTCCCCCCCCCCCCCCTCTTCTTCATTAGCTTACTATGTTCCTGCTGCCATAGGATTTGGTAAGTAATTTCTGACAGCACATCTTTGGTATAAATATATCATACTCTCATAAAATCAACAAAGTTAAACTATTTTATATGAGTTAATTTTCTTGGTCTGCCAAACGTTGATCACAGAGTCTTGCTGGAGGTAGACATTTCTCAAGAACTGAAACGTTGCACTAGAACACATTATGCCCTTTCAATTTGTCACCAAGCAGATTTATTCTGAAATTTATAGAGCTCAGTGCAACATCTAATTAGGTCAGTGGTTCTCAACATGTGGGTCCCCAGATGTTTTGGCCTTCAACTCCCAGAAATCCTAACAGCTGGTAAACTGGCTGGGATTTTTGGGAGTTGTAGACCAAAACACCTGGGGACCCACATGTTGAGAACCACTAGGTTAGGTGCATATGTTTTGTCATGACTTATCATTTTTAATGTTACATAATTTTAAATTGCTTGGGTTTTAATATTTTAGCATTGATATGGCATAGTTAGCCAATTTGGAATTGTTGTCTTTTTAAAGAAAAAGGAGAAAGCCCTGAATTTAAATTACTCTTTGGTTTCAACAGGATCTCTAGTTGGTGTCCTGCTTTTGGTGATTTCTGCAGCTTTATGGATTATGGTTTCAAAACGGAAAAAAGTGTAAGGCAATTATATTTCTTCTTTCTGTGGAAGAAAATATTAAACACATTAACTGCCGAATCTAGAGGCTCATAACAGATATAACAATTCATGGTTCATTCATAGCTCCTAAGTTTTCAGACTGTACCAGAGCTCTTACCTTTTGCACATAAATAAAGAATCTAAATGTAACTTTAGTCTTCTGTATAGTCAGAGACTGAATGCAAGGCTAAATAAAGGTATGAATGAATTTTGATGCAAGGTTAGCTCTGCTTTTAAACTGCTATAGTCACAGAAGTATTTTATTACTAGAAATACTGGACTTTAAAAAAATACACTTTATTGCACCATAACTTACTGAAAACAGGGGTCTTCATGTTAGTAATCACTACCTTAAGTCCCAATGACATTAATGGATGTACTTGAAGTATGATTAAATCCCAATTCAATTCTAATAAGACAGAACACAATCTTGTGGTTCAGAACTGTCCATCAGATTTTTTAAAATCTTCTTAAAGTGTAATTAAGCTTAATCCTAGCATCAATCCATGACAGTTGAAGTGGTGTCAAATTGCATTGATTCTACAGTGCAGATGCACCCTAGTCTTTGAAAGCTTATGCTATTAATTTATTTTTCTCAGTCTCAAAGGTGATACAAGATCCCTTTGTATACTGATCCAGACTAACACAGCAACATCTTTCAATTCTACAAAAACAAACAAAAAACCCAGCCATTATGCCAAATGAACTTTTAATTAGAGCAGGGGTCCACAAACTTTTTAAACAGAGGGCCAGGTCACAGTCCTTCAAGCTATTGGAGGGCCGGATTATAATTTGAAAAAAACCATGAATGAATTCCTATGCACACAGCACACATCTTATTTGTAGCGCAAAAAACACTTTTAAACAATACAATTACAGTGAATAACAATTTTAACAAATATAAACTTATTAGTATTTCAATGGGAAGTGTGGGCCTGTGTTTGGCTGATGAGATAGGATTGTTGTTGTTGTTGTTGTGTGCTTTCAAGTTGTTTCAGACTTAGGATGACCCTGAGCAAGGACCGGGTAAATGACCTTGGAGGGCCGTATCCAGCCCCCGGGCCTTAGTTTGAGGATCCCTGAATTAGAGACTTCTAAAACTCCTGAAAATGCTACATTGGGCTCTTGGTATCCTCTGAGGTTAGGTTCCAGGGTCAATGGTGGATGCTCAGGTTCCATTATAGATCTTGGCAAACAATATTATGTAAAATGGCAAAAATCAAGGTTTGCTTTGGGATTTTTTTTAAAACAAATGCAAAGTTTGCATGTTTGAATCTGTGGATGCAGAATCCATTACTATGGAAGGCTGACTATATTTTATGTGTCAATGCTACCACAGTGTATAAACTCTGACCAACATCCCTTCTTCCTTTGCTCTGAACAAAATTTTACTGGTTTATCACCTGATGTAATATTTACTGGTTAAACTTTGGAAAGAATGTAAAAAAATTAGAATACGGAATTGCATGAATAACTTCTAGTTAGGGCTCTTCCACACAGCCATATAACCCAGAATATCAAGGCAGAAAATTCCACAATATCTGTTTTGAACTGGATTATCTGAGTCCACACTTCCGTATATTCTAGTTCAAAGCAGATAATGTGGGATTTTATTCAGCTGTGTGGAAGGGGCCTATGAATGGATTTGTTGCAATCCTTCTTATGCAGAAAACATTAAATTAAATGAAACTGTGCTGATAGAATGAAACCAGGTTTCCATGAGGAAAGTTTTCTGGGTTGTATGTCCATGTTCCAGAAGCAAGTTCTGGAAAATGGCCATACAGCCCGGAAAACTCACAGCAATGCAGTGATTCCAGCCATGAAAGCCTTCAACAATAGTAATGTATTATGTATTATCCTACAGTTCACTTGCACGTATAAATTTAGTTCCCATGGACCCTGGGTCTTCTATACGCATGAAGATGGTGCAGAGTTCCTGAATCTGTTTGATAGCTTAATATTATTCTCTGCCCATTCCTGCAGCAAATATGTTCCTGGAAAAAATAAAATATATATAGGTCCAGAGAGTCATGTTCAAGAACAGTCAAGTATACCCCTTTGAATGAAGAATAAAAGGCTGCTTTTTATATCAACAGGTAATATTACTGAAATATCTTTTTGTTGAAATCAGCAGTGTGCCAGCTTTATAGTTAAAAAGTGATTATGAATCCAATATTTACTTTCAACAGAGACTCCATTTGTTACTGGGAAATGGCACTGTTGAGTGTGTGTGTGTGTGGGGGGGGGGGAGGAGATAAAGAGTTTTAAAGGCCATTTTAAGTGTATCTATTTTATTTTTATTCTGTTTTTTTTACCACTATTTGTGTTACTATTTGTGTTTTTTTTAACCTTTGCATTCAACTTTTAAAACTTATTTAGTGTGGGATTGTTAGCCGCCTTGAGTCCCCATGGGGAGAAAGGCAGGGTATAAATAAAGATAATAATAATAATAATAATAATAATAATAATAATAATAATAACTGGACAAATCACAAGCCTGAAAAAAATGACATAAAATTAACATGTCAAACTACTCTGGGACTTCCGAATTCAGACTGACAGAGTTTTGAGCGCAATACTCCTGACCTCACAATTGTGGAAAAATAAAAAGTATGGATTGTCAGTGTTGCAGTCCCAGGTGATAGCAGAATTGAAGAAAAGCAACTGGAAAAGCTTACATGAGACAAGGATTTAAAGATTGAACTGCAAAGACTCTGACACAAGCCAGTAAAGGTGGACCCAGTGGTGATTGGCACACTGGGTGCAGTACCTAAATACCTTGGCCTGCACTTGAAAACAATCAATGGTGACAAAATTACCATCTGTCAGCTGCAAAAGGCCACCCTACTTGGATCTGCATGCATTATTTGTCGATACATCACACAGTCCTAGACACTTGGGAAGTGTCTGACATGTGATCCAATACAAATGCCAGCATAGTGATCTTGTTTGTTGTGTACTAATCTTGTTGTATATCAAATAATAATAATTGTCCACCTTCTGACCATAAACTACTTTCACAGATGGGGTTTTCTTTGTAGATTTTTAAACAAACACATTTGTGAGTTAGATAAATAGCTGAAGTTTAAGGTAAGTACAAATTATAGGCTTGTACATTACCATTTCTAAACATTTCTACAAATATTGTTGCATGCAGGAGTTTAAATTAATTTGTATTCTTACCTGTATCAATAAATATACCAGAATTAGCCCCTGAAATTACCAAGGTGAGTGTATTCTTAGATGAAATGCTGTCATTTCATTGAGTAACGAGTTAAAATACTACTCAAAGTAGAGGTGAGAGCAAGTGGTTGATCAAAAGGCAAATTGAATAACCTTCTCTGGACAAAGCTTGCAATATGGTTTGTAACTGCAATATCCTTCTAAAAACGACAATATTATTAATTAAAAATCTTATTTTTCCTTCTTCTGCAGGTGGACATTATTTTCCAGCAATCCTCTATTTTGTTTTACATTGAAAGCAAACCTTTATTAGAAACAAACAGCTTGCTATACTCTTCATTTTCCAAAAAAAGGACCAGTCTGGTCTATATATACGAGTACAACTAAATCAACCAGTTCATTCTCCAGTCTTGAAGCAACAAGTTACAAGGAATGCAATTCAATATAACTACCGTAATAGTTTTTGTGGGCAACAAGCAATACTGCAGAAGTAACAAGGAAGAACAATGAGTAATGCTGTCTTCTTACTTTTTCTAGCCATTTGGATAGGAAATGTTTTTAAGTTTTGATTACCAAATGGACCTTAAACCTTAATTAAAATAACACTAACAAAAACTAATGCAAAAGTAGCATGAAAAGTGGCAAAGTGAGTCCTCATAATCACAGCACAATGCTTTCAAAAGAAGAAACGTTTTTACTTGTTTTGATGGATTTTTAACTGTAATTTTTTAGTGCTGTTTGCATTTAATTCTATTGTAATGCTTGCATTTTTGTATATTTTAAATTGTATACTAAAGCTTTTATGTCAAGCCACTTTGAGTTCCCTTTGAGGAGATAAAGCGGGGTATAAATAAATATAAATACTGTATAATAATAATGATAATAATAATGATTATGATGATAGCAGCTCAGAGAAAATCTTCATTCATATGAATAGTTTTTCCTATGGACTCTAACTGATGTGTTTAAGCAACAATAAATATCAGACTATAAAAGAGGGCTTTTATGTTCCAACCCAGATGTATTTAATGGACTTTCTGTGATGAGAGACTGCAAATACAAAAGAGCAGGGAATTATTCTCTTGTCAGCTTCTACTGATATTTTGTTTCAAAATCTTATTTTAGTAAGTTTTAAATATTACTCTGGGATTAGATATTACCTCAATTAACTTATATTTCAAAACAAGCAATGAGTAATACTATTTCATCAGAGATGTGTGGTTTTTGAAATCAGGTGTTTTAAAATCTGATATGTATAATAGGTATCCAAGGGAGAGAAATATAATGATACAGTATGTTTGGTGAAATATCTATAGCTTTTATACAAAAAAAATTAAAATGTTTTTATTACTTTGCAATATTTATGTGTCTTTCATTTTCCAGTTCCACTATGGAACAAACACTTTCTTAAGCTTTGTTCAGGATCAATGTGCTGGCACGGCTGTGCCAGGAGATTTGAATTTCTTTTTCTTGCACTGTTAGTTTGTTTGAATTCATCTCGGCCATGCATTTTACAATTGGGTAGCTTTCCCCAGGTTGCAATCATAGGGCCAACAACCTATCAATCATCATTAGAGCCTTTAGATCCGCCCCTTTCCCCAGGTTTGGAGGGAAAGGGGGACTTTTAGTTCAGTCTCACAGCTTGGAGCCTGACAGATAGGACGTGTGGGCTTCTCTCTCCAACCTGCAAAAAGGCTTCATTTCTCACAGCTTTGCTGGGAGGAAAAGAAATACAGCCAGCTTTGCTAGGCAAAAGGAAAGGTTCCACAACCTTCGTGGAAAATCTAAAGGACACCAGCTTGGCAGATCTACAGAAAACCTTATCTGGTAAGGGACACTCGGGCTATCCATAAAGCATATTGGAGCCAGGAGTAGGGGCCTCATGCCAGTAAGGTAAAGGAAGATTGCCCAAGGAGGGGTCAGAAGGTTTCCCCAAGAAAGAAAGGAACAGTTTATCAAGCAGTTGCCTGTCCCTTGTTGGCAGATTGAGAAAGCTGCTAGTTTTTCAATATTATAAAGCATTTAATTCATTTGTTCACAGATTTAAGCCCTAATAAAGAACTTTGTTGAACTTACTTTGAGCCTCTACAGAACTTTGTGTTCGGAAACCTAAGGGACCCTTTAGCTGAGGCAACCCCAACGTCCCGTTAACACCGCGTCCTGTAAACAGACCTTATCACAGGCCCAGTGCACAACAGCACAATCAACATGTGCTTTACATCTTAAGAACAGACAAACATCTCAAGCTGTGAGGATGACCCGGGAAGGAATACCACTGGAGCATTGCAGCACACCCAAATACCTGGAAGTTTCTCTGGACTGTGCTCTGACTTACAAGAAGCACTGCTTGACTATCAAGCAAAAAGTGGGTGCTAGAAAAAATATCATACAAAAGCTAACTGGCACAACCTAGGAATCACAAGCAGACACAGTGAAGACATCTGCCCTTGTGCTTTGCTACTTTGCTGCTGAATATGCATGCCCAGTATGGAAAACATCTCACCATGTTAAAATAGCGGATGTGGCTCTTAATGAGACATGCATTATTATCACAGGATTTCTACGCCCAACACCACCGGAGAAATTATACTGTCTAGCTGATACTGCACCACCTGACATCTGCCAGGAAGTAGCAACCAATAATGAAAAAAGACCACGACAGTGACATCTGTGGCCCATTCTCTGTTCAGATATCGGCCAGCATGGCTATGCCTTAAATCGAGAAATAGCTTTCTAAGATCTACATAGATACTCACAGGAACACCTCAGTAATTCTATCATTGGCCCAATTCTGTTGTTGGTGGGGTTCGGAATGCTTTTTGATTGTAGGCGAACTATAAATCCCAGCAACTACAACTCTCAAATGTCAAGTCTCTTTTCCCCAAACTGTACCAATGTTGACATGTGGGTATATTGAGTATTCGTGCCAACTTTGGTACAGATCCATCATTGTTTGAGACCACAGTGCTCTCTGGATGTAGGTGAACTACAACCAAACCCTTCCAGTATTTTCTGTTGGACATATGAGTTCTGTGTGCCCTGTTTGGTTCAATTCCATCATTGGTGGAGTTCAGAATGCTCTTTGATTGTAAGTGAACTAGAAATCCCAACAAATACAACTCCCACATGACAAAATCACTCTTGCCCCAACCCCACCAGTATTTAAATTTGGGCATAGTCCAGTGAATGAAAATACATCCTGCATATCAGATATTTACATAATGATTCATAACAGTAGCAAAATTACAATTATGAAGAAGCAATGAAAATAATTTTATGGTTGGGGGTCACCACAACATGAGGAACTGTATTAAGGGGTTGTGGCATTAGGAAGGTTGAGAACCGCTGCTTTAAAGCTTTGCTCTCAGAATATTTCTACCTCCTTCCATTTTTTCCTTTGCCTTTCTGATGACCTCTCCAACTGCGGTCAACTTGCACTTTCTCCCAGAGGAAGAAAAGGGTAAAGGTGCCTCTCTGTCATCTCCTACCTTGCTTACTTACAGCAAAGGGGGTCATGACTATTTGGACTATAGTTGGGTCATATTTGGTCAAAATGGGAAAATAGTATAAAGACATATATTTGGCTATCTGTTGTATAACTACTTGCCATGGCCCTTAGAAAGCCAGTGCAAGATTCCATGGGAGCTTTATTCCTTGCAGCAGAGAATATTTCCATTGTTGAGGGAGTTCAGAATGCTCTTTGATTGTAGGTGAACTAGAAATCCCAGCAACTACAACTCCCAGATGACAACATTAACACACACACACCCCCCCCCCCCCCCCCCCCCCCCCCCCCCCCACAACCCCACCAGTATTCAAATTTGGGTGTATCGGGTATTTGTGCCAAATTTGGTCCAGTGAATGAAAATACATCCTGCATATCAGATATTTACATTACGATTCATAACAGTAGCAGCATCACAATTATGAAGTAGTGAAAATAAAGTTATGGTTGGGGGTCACCACAACATGAGGAACTGTATTAAGGGGTTGCAGAATTAGGAAGGTTGAGAAGCACTGCCTAACAGCCTCAGGTCCTTTCTTTTTCCCCTTCAGCCGCTTAAGGGGCGTGAGGCCATTAGGAATGGTGGGAGTCGAAGTCCAAAACACTATTATTTATTTATTTTACAGTATTTATATTCCACCCTTCTCACTCTGCAGGGGACACAGGGCAGATTACAATGTACATATACATGGCAAACATTCAATGCCATAGACACACACAACATATATAGACAGACACACAGAGGCTATTTAATATTCCAGCTTTTTCATGAGGGTATTCTGACCACCAGAGGAGCTGTCTCTTCACCATCCATTTGTGACACTTATGAAGTACTTCCTCATTCTTTGCATGCTTACTGGAGATTTTTATGGCCTCGTAAATTAGCCTCCCCGCATAAGCGGTACCTAAATTTCCTACTTGACAGATGCAATTGTCTTTCAGGTCAACAGCAAGCTACACAAATTGGTCGGAAGCTCACTCCGACCTGGACTGGCTTCGCACTCATGACCTTAGTGATCTTAATGCAGATGACTCCCAGCCAGCTGCGCCACACTCCCAGTCCAAGTTTGCCCATGCCTGGTATATAGAGATTGGGGGAGGAATTGGGGGAACAGAAATCCCCAAGCATTTTAGATAGAATAATAGAGTTGGAAGACACCTCGTGCGCCATTAAGCCCAACCCCCTGCCTAGAAGCAGGAATATTGCATTCAAAGCACCCCTGACAGATGGCCATCCAGCCTCTGTTTAAGAGAAGGTATACAAAACGTGGGTGGGAGAGAGAGACAGATACTTTCTGCATTCCTATAGAACTGTGCTAGCCTTTTTTGTGAGCGTGTCCTCTATCTACCTCCTTACACATTCGTGTCCCATTTTCTGCCCGCTTTTAAAACAAATAAACCTCAACGCAGTTCTGAAGGCGTCCCTCCCGCCCCCGCCCCCTAGAGGCAGCAATCGAGATAGCACCCAACAGGCAGCCAGGCGCCTTCCCCACACGCATGCGCACTTCCGGCATTCGGCACCCGTTCCGGCAGCTTCGCGCGCTACACGCATGCGCACTCGCGACCTCGGCGTCGCCAGGGCGACATGCCCCAACGGTCATGGCGGCGGCGCGGCCTTGTGTGGGGCCGGCCGTGGCTGTGCTTCGTGGCGCTGGCGGCTTTCCCTCCAGGAGCCCTGGGTCGGTAAAAGACACCCTTTCCCTCCCAGGCGCCGCCTCTATCGCTTAAGGCTTAAGCGGCGGAGGGGGAAAAGGAAAGAGCCTGAGGAATTGTGGGAGTTGAAGTCCAAAACACCTGGAGGGAGGGCCCACGCTTTCCCATGCCTGCTCTAACACTTGTCACAATAGCAGCAGTCAAGCTTTCTCTTACTTTCCTTTTCTTTCCTTCACTCCCACCTTTCCTTTTTCCATTCTCTTCTTTCGTTTCGTTTTCTCGTTCTTCCCTCCTTCTAACACTTGTCACCAATCAGCTTCACTCGCCTAGTTACATCATAGGGGGACACTTAGAATCATAGAATCAAAGAGTTGGAAGAGACCTCATGGGCCATCCAGTCCAACCCCCTACCAAGAAGCAGGAATATTGCATCCAAATCACCCCTGACAGATGGCCATCCAGCCTCTGTTTAAAAGCTTCCAAAGAAGGAGCTTCCTTCACCTAGCAACAGCCATCCTGCTTTGTTCCTTTTCTTGAACAGTGGGCCCAAAAGGGATTTTTTTCCCCAGTCCAACCTTCCATTATTTTAAGTTGGGTCATGAAGGGCATGTGCACCGAGTCTAGTCCGGTTCCATAAAATCACGTGGGAGCCTTTGTGGTACAAACCAACATACATATTTTGACATGTATTTATAGATATTTTAAATTATTTTGTGCGCATTGAACCATCAGAAATGAAAGGTGTAATCTCACACAGCTATGTGTAGAACTTGGGAGCATTTTGAATTTCTGACTCAAATTATATAGGGCGCACTCCAGGATCCTACACCGTACATGCCCCATGTACTTTCTTCAGTTCCGAGTATGGATATTTTTCCACCAGCATTATAGAACAGAGGCTTTCATAGAATCATAGAATCAAAGAGTTGGAATAGACCTCATGGGCCATCCAGTCCAACCCCCTGCCAAGAAGCAGGAATATTGCATTCAAATCACCCCTGACAAATGGCCATCCAGCCTCTGCTTAAAAGCTTCCAAAGAAGGAGCCTCCACCACACTCCGGGGCAGAGAGTTCCACTGCTGAACGGCTCTCACAGTCAGGAAGTTCTTCCTAATGTTCAGATGGAATCTCCTCTCTTGTAGTTTGAAGCCATGGTTCCGCGTCCTAGTCTCCAAGGAAGCAGAAAACAAGCTTGCTCCCTCCTCCCTGTGGCTTCCTCTCACATATTTATACATGGCTATCGTATCTCCTCTCAGCCTTCTCTTCTTCAGGCTAAACATGCCCAGTTCCCTAAGCCGCTCCTCATAGGGCTTGTTCTCCAGACCCTTGATCATTTTAGTCGCCCTCCTCTGGACACATTCCAGCTTGTCAATATCTCTCTTGAATTGTGGTGCCCAGAATTGGACACAATATTCCAGATGTGTTCTGTGTTCTGCAGAATTATTTGCAGTTTTTTCACTTTTGCAGTTGGTGCTGTGGCCCAAACCTTAGTAAAGGTGGACGATTGACTAATATTTTTTCCTAACATTATTTTTACTTAAAATGCAAGAATATCTACCTGGCTTTTCTCTAAAAATCAATACAAGAGTGGACTTCATATGACAGATAAAGCTGGTTTTTATGGCCCCAGGTATTCTCAGTGTAATTCCATGTTATTATTTTTTTTTCTTTTTGACCAAAGTTCCTTTTCTAATATATTTCCTTTCTTGTTTTTGAAATGGTGTGTGTTGAGCTAACACTGAGCTGGTAGGGGCAATAGCCTGTATAATTTCTGGTGCTTTTTGCCAAAATAGCTTGATGATGATGATGATGATGATGATGATGTATGCCTTCTTAGCAGTTACCTATAAATCTGAGGTCTCAAGGCTGCACACATCCCTTTCCAGTCCTCAGAGGCCTCCTACCTTTTTGTACTTTTTAAAATTCAAAATGCCTCGTCCTCCCGGAGAGGGCAATTTCGTTATGTTCTTTATCTTCAAATGTTTTGAACACTGGGCCGATTTAATTACGAAGCAAGGAATAAACCAGATTACTGGATTGAAAGCAACCAGATAGCAAACAGGATAAGCTAAATTTCTCTCTTTTACACAGCCATTAGAAATATAGGTGCTGTACTCTGCTAAGGCCTAAAACAGTCATTTCCTCATTTCTGTCTAAACATACCAAAGGTATTCAAATGTTCCTTATAGATTTTACCTTCTTGATCATCTCCTCTGGACATGTTTTGGCTTGTCAATAATTCTTCTTAAACCTGGGACACTCATATGGCAGCTTTGGTTAAGAGGGCCAGGCAGAGATTATACTATCGGAGACTTCTAAGGAACCAATAAACAAATGAAAAACTGCTAGTGACTTTCTACCACTATGTTATAAAGAGTGTACTAACCTATGGCACCTGTACATTGTTTGATAACTGCACAGCGGCAGATAGGAAGGCGCTCCAAAGAGTCACCACTACTGCACAGAGAATCATTGGTGGCCTTCTCTCCTGTTTGGAAGAATTTATAAGTCCCACAGCCTTGAGAAAGCTCAGATCATTCTTAAGGATCCATCTCACCAGTATATTCTCTTTTTGAATTATTATCATCTGTTAGATGGTACAAAGGCAAGGACAAACAGACTGAGAGATAGGTTTTATCCTAGAGCTGTAACGATACTGAACTCCGTGTTTTTGCATTGATATGACATTGGGGGCTGTGGTTGTTGGAGTGTTGAGGGATGGGTGTGTTGTTTTTGTGATGTGTGCTGGGGAAAGCATTTAATTTTGTTGTAGAATGTACAATGACAGTAAAGCTATTATATTCAATTCTATAAGGCACAATGGCCTTCTCCCTGTTGTCCTTCAATTGGGAGACTAAACCCCTTTTTTCAGACAGCCTTTTAAAAAATAAAGTTTTTAAGATCAAGTCAGGGGGTGCTGTGGTTTTTAGCTTTGAATATGTTTTAAGGATTTTAACTGATTTTTAATACCATTGATGTTTAATTCTGTTTTAGTGCATTTGTAGACTTTAAATTGTATTGAAATGCTTTTAATGAAAGCAGCTCTGAGTCTCCTTATGCAGCGAAAAAGCAGGATATAAATAAACATAATAATAATATTCAAAACTGGAAACTGGAGTATTCCAGGTAAGCTGTGACTAGAGCAGAACTAACATAACATTGATGGTAAGAACCCTCAATTGTAAGATGCAGCCCTATTTTTCTGTAATTTTAGAATCTAGGGCACCGTCTTTTTATTTGAGCCCTGTGCATCACCTGGACTGCTTTCCCCTTCATTGTCTCCCTCAGTGTTGCTAATTGTTATCAAAATGAATACAATTGCACAGAGAAAAAGAAAAAAAATGGGAGTTTCCAAATGTCTGGATCTGGCTTCATTCTTTCTCTCTGGAGATGGAAAAAGCCATCTGTACAAAGCACAGATTGATAGATCTGATTATTGATTAGTCCACTTACAAGGTTACAACAACATCTATTATAGAACTCCAATATGCTGATGACAATGTCATCTGTGCGCAAAGCACAGATTGATAGATATGATTATTGATTAGTCCACTTACAAGCTTACAACAACATCTGTTATAGAACTCCAATATGCTGATGACAATGTTGCCTGTGCACATTTAGAAGAAGACCCACAAGCCACTCTAAACACCTTCACAGAAGCATACGAAAAGCTCAGCCTGTCATTGAACATCGAGAAAACCAAAGTGCTCTTCCAGCAGTCACCAGCCAATCCCTCTCCAATGCCGGAAATACAGCTTAATGGTGTAACATTAGAAAATGTTGACCATTTCCGCTACCTTGGCAGAGTGTTTGAGGACCGGGACATCCGTAGGGATACCAAGGTGCTTGTTTATAAAGCTGTTGTCCTCCCAACCCTGCTATACGCCTGTGAGACATGGACTATCTACAGACGTCACATGCAACTCCTAGAACGATTCCATCAGCGTTGCCTCCGAAAAATCCTGCAAATTTCTTGGGAAGTCAGGCGGACAAACGTCACCATGCTGGAAGAAGCAACGACCACCAGCATTGAAGCTATGGTCCTTCGCCATCAACTCTGCTGGACCGGCCACGTTGTCCGGATGCCTTACTACTGTCTCCCAAGCAGTTGCTGTACTCCGAACTCAAGAACGGAAAACAAAATGTTGGTGGGCAGGAAAAGAGATTTTAAGATGGGCTCAAAGCCAACCTTAAAAACTCTGGCATAGACACTGAGAACTGGGAAGCCCTGGCCCTTGAGTGCTCCAGCTGGAGGTCAGCTGTGACCAGCAGTGCTGTAGAATTGATGAGGCACGAAGGCAAGAGAGGAAGGTGCGTCAAGCCAACCCTGACCGAGACCGCCTTCCACCTGGAAACCAATGTTCACAATGCAGGAGAACATGCAGATCAAGAATAGGGCTCCACAGTCACCTACATACCCACCACCAGTACACAGATCTTGGAAGACAATCCTACTCAGACAACGAAGGATCGCCAAAGTAAGTAAGTCCACTTACTATATTAACAATAACAAACAAAAACAAAGATACACAGACAAATAAACACCAATTGCTATCCTAAAACTCCTGTAACTAAAATACATTAAAACACAATAAATTGGATTACATTGCGAGATGAAAGCATCAGGGGATGAGAATAAAGTGTTGAGTGTAAAAGCAAGCATCATTCTGAGAATTTAGATAAATTCATCATTGACAAAGGATCTGATTTTGTGAGATAAAAAGATCTCTCAGGTGGGTGGTTTTTGTAATGAATTTGGCTGGTTTATCTTCAGATCGTATAAATCTTTCACCTTTTACAAAATAGGATTCCCCCCCCCCCCCCCCCCCGCACACACACCTCTGCAGAGAGACAGAGAGCTACCCATGACACCAGGCTTCCCTCATTATCCTCTCTTTAAGAAAAACCTGTGATTCCAAGACACCCTCGATTTCCAAAACACACCTTTTAAAAAAAAAACTTTCAATTTTGGACAGAAAAGTGTATTTTGGATTCCATGTTATATGATACTACTATTCCTTTCCTTAATCTGGACATGACAGATCTGTTAGTGCCAGATACAACTGCATTGGGGTTTTTTTTTACAATGTATTACTTACTTGACTTACTTGGGGTTTTTTTTTATATTATTTCAATTACATGTCCCTCTGGCACATGATTAAAAAATTGGGCATAGCTGTATAACCTTGAAGTGTTTTATTAGCTTCAAAGGAATGTATAACTTGTGCAAGGATGTTTGGCAATCGTTACATTTTGTTCTTGGATCTAGCTGAACTTCATTGGAATAGATAGCATTTAAGGACAAAACGTAGTTATTAGAATGCAGTTTTTAATTTGTCGTAGTTACAAAAATATTTGTATTTATTTTCAGTGTGTAAAGATCCCATAATTGAACACGGGACAAGATTAAGTGGAATCAAGTCGTCATATACAGATGGTGACAGTGTGACACTTGAATGTAAAATTGGATATTTCATGATTGGAAGTTATTTCATTCAGTGTGAAAATAATAGCTGGTATCCTGCAGTGCCATCTTGTCTAAAAAGTAAGGTCTTTTTGAAATGTTTCTAGATAAAACAACTTTATTCTCTTTTGTTTCAGAAAATTTATTTTGACTTAGCCATGAATCAATAACAGTAGACTGCTTTATGTGTTTAAGCTTCTACATAATCTAAAACAAAAATCAGTTTTGCAATGCCATGATCATTAAATAATCTGTATAATGCCTGTGCACCAAAATAGGTTGTTTTGTTCACCTTTCCTATTCTCATTACAGTTGCTAACGATTTGTGTGGTGTCCCAACACTCCCCAATGGGATTGTAGAGCCAGTGAAGAGTCTGTATCAGATTGGAGCCATAATTGCTGCATACTGCAAGCCAAACTATTCTTTCCCTGATGAAACCATAGAGATGACTGCAAAATGTGACGGTTTTAATGTTTGGGAACCTGATGTGCAGCCTTGTTTCTGTATGTATGAGTCCAGATTTATCTATTCCCATCTTATTTTGTTTATTATTTATTTATTTATTTATAACTTTTTATATCCCGATCTTCTCACCTTCGTAGAGGGACTCAGACCGGCTTACAGCAAGGATTCAATGCTACTAATACAAGTTAAATCATGCAACAATACAAGATTAAAATACATATAGATAAAATACATATATACCAAATCACCAAGGTAAAATCATGTTCAACTCAGTCCGCATATGTGGTCACTCACTTTGTTCTGTAATCAGTCTCAGCCATTATTCTGGGAATGCTTCGTTCCATAACCAGGATTTCACTAGCCTCCTGAAGGACAAGAGGAAGGGGGCAGATCTAATCTCGCTCGGGAGAGAGTTCCATAGCCGAGGGGCCACCACAGAGAAGGCCCTGTCTGTCATTCCCACCAAACGCACTTGCGAAGGTGGTGGGACTGAGAGCAGGGCCTCCAGAAGATCTTAAAGTCCTTGATGGTTCATAGGGGAGAATATGTTTGGACAGGTAAACTGGGCCGGAACCATATAGGGATTTATAGGTCAAAATCAGCACTTTGAATTGTGCTTGGAAGCTAATTGGCAACCAGTGGAGCTGGTTTACAGCCATATGCACTCATTGAATTTTCTCATTGTTTAAAAAACGCAGTCTCTAACCTTTGTAACAACCCTCGGGATGTTACTATTATTTTAGATGTTCTGCCCCACCTGTGCTGCAAACCTAGTGTGCTGGCCCTTTCACCTCAATATTTCCACCCTCTGCTGCCACCTTGATGCCCCCCTCTCCTGGAACTGCCAACTCTGCAGGGACCCACCCAAGCTTTGTCCATTCAGGACTCGTTGCTCCCTCCTCCACCATATATAGCTGAACTTAATGATGGCTCTGACTCTTCATATAGCACTCTAGAAGCGCCAGATGTGTCTAATGACTCTGAATCTGAGTTGCCTTCCTCCAATGAGTTCAATAACTTCTCGGCCTTGATTTTGTGCCTGGCACAAGCCTTAAACTTGCCTATGTCTAAAGCACCTGCTCCAGTGGAGGATCCCATCTTTCCCTCAGAACAGCAACACTCACCAGCGCCTCTCGTGCTGCCCCTGTTGTCTTCTCCAGCTTTCCAGGTTGCCTGACCTTGCTCCAACCAGCGTCCCAGCAGTTTTGAGCTGTATAGACAGCATGTACTGTGTGGACCTTACATCTACAGAGTGGGTGGCTCACCCACCTAAGCCTAATTCTGTCGTTGTTGACGTAACCCAACTTCGTAGATCTAAAAAATCTTTCTCGGGCCCATCTGATAGAGAAAGTAAGAAAATGGTCTTCATGAGGTACATGTGTCGGCTGGTCTGTTTACTTGCTTGGCCCATATATTGGCCATATATGGGGGGGGGGGCTATCAAATGTTTTTATGGTATGAAATTGCCCCTTATCTTGATCACCTCCCTCGGGAAGAATAGCAACGGGCTAAGATCTTTCAGATGGAAGCTACAGACCTGATTAAGCTACAAAAGGACGTGGCTAAGCACCCAGCAGACTCAGCTGGCAAGTTCTTCACCACAGTAACTTCTATCCGGAGGCATGCATGGCTGCGTTCTTCAGGTGTCTCCAAAGAGGGATGCACTATTGCAGAGGACCAGCCGATGCACAATGATGGGCTGTTTAATCCTGAGATAGATATGAGGCTTAAAGATATTCAAGAGATGCATCAGATGGCCCATAAGATCAGTTTTCCATCTTAACCTTCCTACCAACCAAAACCAAGATGGCAGCTAACAATCACCTTCTATCATGGACACTTTGGTGGGGCATCGGGCAGATCCCACCCTGATAAGCACGCCAAGTTACCTGCTCCGAGGAAGCAGAAACTTCCCCTTTAAGAACTGCCAGCAGGGTAAGGCAAGTCAGCAAGTTGGCTCCAAATGGTGTTTTTAGCTATATTTCAGCTGTCCGAGATGATACCCTCTGTTCTTCTCGTTTTTACTGCCTGGAAATGTCGTTTTCCCCTGTTGTGTTTTTCAGTATCCCTTTGACTGCCTCCCTTGTGGAGCAAGTTGGCAAGTCTCCTGTATTTGGTTCTAGACTGTTGCCTTTGCCTCAGCTTGGCAGAAGATAACTTCAGATGCATGGGTTCTGAAAATTTGGTTATTCCATTGAGTTCTGTAGATACTCCATTGTGGGTTGTCAATGAGTTACACCTTCTTCCCCACCTCTTTTGGAGGAGGTCCAGGTCTTGTTGTAGAAGGGTGCTATCAGGTACCTGCATCCTTCAGAGTTTTCGCTATGTTTTTCTCACATTACTTTTTAGTGCTTAAACGTGATGGGGGCCAGCAGGGACGTTAATCAATAAATCAATTCCCACAACTTTCGAATGATGTCACCTTCTATCCTTCCTCTGTTAAATGAAGATGTATGGTTTGCCACCATTAATTTGAAGGATGCTTATTTTCATATTTCTATCTGGCAAGAACACTGTAGATTTCTTTCCTTCATGATAGAGAATCAGGCCTTTTGCTTTAACATTTTGCCATTTGATCTCACAATGGCTCCCTGTATTTTTACCAAGTGTATGGCTGCCATTGCAGCACATCTTTGCCTCAGTGGCGTAACAGTCTATCCATACTTTGATGAGTGGCTATTGGTGGCGAGATTGAAAATCCAACTTCTCTTTCACATTGTGTCTTCTTCAGTTTCTAGGTCTTATTCTCAACAAGAAGAAAGCCCACCAAGTCCAGAATAGTATCACCCATCATATCCAGTTTATTGGGAGTATTCTGGACTCGGGGGCACAAATGGCCTATCTCCCGAGAGATCATTTCCTTGCCCTCAGGTCTTCTGTTTGCCAGGACTTGCAGGAACCATGGATATTGGCCAGGCATGTCCAGGCCATGCTGGGCCACATGACTTCAACTACAGCAGTGATGCCTTATGCCCGGCTCCAACTTCAACCCCTATTGGCCTGGTTCCTCAGTCCCTTTGACTCCCTTCTTGGTGACCCTTTAACCCCTCTCTCAATTTCACCTGGGGTTCGTCTGTTGCTTATTTTGTGGACCAAGCAGAGAAACATGTGTGCAGGTCTTTCAGGTGGTCAAACCCCTCCAGAACTTTAACTACAGACTCCTCCCTTCGGGGCTGGGGGGCCCATTCCAGGGGCTTCACAGTTCAAGGGCCAAGTGGAGGCCACCAGCCACATAAACTATCTGGAACTGCTAGTGGTCAAGAAGACCTTAAGGGTGCTCGAACCATCATTAACAGGGAATGTGGTTCATGTCCTCATGAACAATACCATTACAAAATTCTACATAAACAAACAGGGTGAAACACACTCTGTCCCTCTTCTGACAATTACCCTTCATCTCTGGGATTGGTGCATCAGCAAAGGGATCCACATCTTCATTCCTGAGGGTGAAAATGCTCACCTAAGCAGGATACCACAAGCAGATCATGAGTGCTCCTTTCACCCAGATGAGGTGTGCTCCCTATTTGGACAATGGAGCAACCTCGAGGTAGATCTGATTGCAACAAAGTAGAACACCAAATCTCCCCTTTACTGTGCTCACCGGACTCGGAGCCAAGCGTGATGACTAGAGGATGTTTCTCTTTGTATGGGGATGCCACTTCCTCTATACCTTCCCACCAATTCCTCTTTTTACTCAGGTAGTGGCCAAACAGCAAGTGGACAGTGCGGACTGCATTGTCATTGCCCCATGGTCAACCATGGTTCTCTACCTTTCTTGAGATATCCAAGGGTGACTTTGTGCATCTGTCAGGTCACTCAGATCTCTCATTCCAGGGGATTCCAGTTCTCCACCCGGATGTATACTGCCTCTGTTTGGTGGCTTAGCAGATTTGCCCCCCCCCCCATCTCAACCAGTGAGGTCAGATCTGGCCCTACTCTTGTCACAACGTCTCAACCTGTGGGGTCAATTATAGGTGCATCACAAAGAGCCTTGACTAAGCACTCTTACATTTACAAATGATATTGATTTATGGCCTTTGTTACTCAAAAGGGAGCTGACCCAGTTTCACCGCCAACTCCCATGAACCTGGACTTTTTGGTTTCCCCTTTCAGATGCAGGCCTCTCCCCTTCCTCTTTGAAATGCTACCTTGCAGCCATCTCTTGGTACAGAATGAAAGTGGGTCTCCCCTCAAGGTTTTCAGACTTTGGTGAGGCTTTTTCTTTGGGGCTGTGGGAATGTGAGCCTACCGCTGCCACCTTGGCCTTGTCCTAGAGTTTGAAAGTTGTGCTCTCCTCCTTAACTTAGCCTCCTTTCGAACCTCTAGCTTTGATGAACATGTTTTATCTCTCATGTAATGGAGCTTTTCTCATTGCTATTACCTCTGCACGTAGTGATCATCTACCCAGAGAGCACACATCTCACTAGCACTATGCGCAAAAATAGTAGCAACGGACAAGGTTGTCTGACATAGCTTTCTTGCCTAAGGTAGCCTCACACTTTCACATGTCTCAGGATATAATCCTGCCAGTTTTTTTCCCAGAATCTTTCTGCTTCCCTGGAGCGGTCTCTTCACCTTCTGGATGTTAGGAGGGTCTTGGGATTTTATGTGCATAGGACAGCAGGACTCAGGAAGTCTCCTAGGACATTCTTGAAGTATCGGAAGGACGCCAGTGGCCTCCCAGTCTCCTCTCAATGGTTTTCCTCTTGGAATGTTTCGGCAATCTGTTTGGCTTACCAATTGGCTGGTCATGACTTACCTGGGCAGATTAAAGGACACTCCACTAGAACCATGGCTACCTGCTTTTTTGGAAGGGGGGGGGCATTCTCCTGAACGATGTCTGTCAGGTGGCCATTTGGTTTACCCCACTTACCTTTGTTACACACTACAAGGTTGATGTCCTATCTCGGAAAAATGTGGCTTTTAGCAGAGCAGTCTCCTTTTCTTCAGTGGCATAATGCCCACTAGTCGAGGTTAGTCGCTTGCTAGTCTACCATATGTACGATTTCACAGAGACCACAATGAAGAAATAATGGTT